TCTCAAGCTCTGTCAGGTTGGATGGGGAGCGTTGATGCACAGCTATTTTCAGGTCTCTCGATGTTCGATCGGGTCTGGAGGAAACCTGGCACCATCCGGGCTCTGGCTGGGCCACTCCAGGACATTCAGAGACTTGTCCTGAAGCCACTCCTGCGTTGTCTTGGCTGTGTGCTTAGGGTCATTGTTCTGTTGGAAGGTGAACCTTCGCCCCAGTCTGGGGTCCTGAGCGCTCTGGAGCCAGTTTTCATCAAGGATCTCTCTGTACTTTGCTCCGTTCATCTTTCCCTCGATCCTGACTAGTCTCCCAGTCCCTGCCGCTGAAAAACATCCCCACAGCATGATGCTGCCACCACCATGCTTCACAGTAGGGATGGTGCCAGGTTTCCTCCAGACATGAAGCTTGGCATTCAGGCCATAGAGTTAAATCATGGTTTCATCAGACCAGATAATCTTGTTTCTCATGGTCTGAGAGTCTTTAGGTGCCTTTTGGCAAACTCCAAGCGGGCTGTCATGTGCCTTTTACTGAGAAGTGGCTTCCATGTGGCCACTCTACCATAAACGCCTGATTTGGTTAAGTGCTGCAGAGATGGTTGTTCTTCTGGAAGGTTCTCCCATCTCTATAGAGGAACTTTGGAGCTCTATCAGAGTGACCATCAGGTTCTTGGTCACCTCCCTGACCAAGGCCCTTTTTCCCCGATTGCTTAGTTTGGCCGCGAGGCCAGTTCTAGGAAGAGTCTTGGTGGAGGCCACTGTGTTCTTGGGGACCTTCAATTCTGCAGACATTTTTTGGTACCTTTCCCCAGATCTGTGCCTTGACACAATCCTGTCTCGGATCTCTACCGACAATCCCTTCAACCTTATGGCTTGGTTTTTGCTCTTACATGCACTGTCAACTGTGGGACCTTATATAGACAGGTGTGTGCCTTTCCAAATCATGTCCAATCAATTGAATTTACCACAGGTGGACTCCAATCAAGTTGTAGAAACATCTCAAGGATGATCAATGGAAACAGGATGCACCTGATCTCAATTTTGAGTCTCATAGCAAAGGGTCTGAATACTTATGTAAATAAGGTATTTCTGTTTTATTTTATTTTATAAATGTGCAAAAATGTCTAAACCTGTTTTCGCTTTGTCATTATGGGGTATTGTGTGTAGATTGGGAAAAGGTTTTATTTTAATCCATTTTAGAATAAGGCTGTAACGTAACAAAATGTGGAAAAAGTAAAGGGGTCTGAATACTTTCCGAATGCTCTGTATGTATATTTAGTATAGTTTTATCTAAAAAGGATAACTTTGAATGTTTCATTATTAATTTATTTTCTGAAATTCACTGAGTACAATGGTCCTCCCCTTACCTCTGAAGAGCCTCCACTATCCATACAGGCTAGAACGCTTTACAATGCAAAAAGATTCTGGTAGATTCTAGCTTTGTAGGCTACACTCCTTGCTAGCTTACAGCTGAAGCTAACATCAATTCACTACCGTAGTACTTTGTTTGTGATAATATGCTGACTGCCACCAAAACTTAATTTTTTCACTTAGTCGGTCTCTCTCTCACAAAGATGATACATTGCCTCAGCAACTGACTATTTGTGAATAGGGCTCTGACCGCTTGCCTGTGAATGACGTCATTACCGGTTAAAGAGACAGCGCACACTTTTATAAAATAAGCTACTTCTATGCAAATGTTGTTGATCAGTACAATACAATGTCTGAAATGGAAGGGACAGATTGTTTGTAATCTGAAGCCCCATGAATATCAGCCAAAACAAGCTCAATAACTCAGTGCATGCACACACTCCTAACGAATATGCATTCACCTGTATTGTGAATAGGCCTTGGCTACGTATTGATTTACCCAGTTTATCAATAAAGATTTACCATTCAAATAAATTATTACCATTATGTAAATAGAATGGTAAAAACAAAGTCAAATTGATTGTATAATTGATTCATAATGCATACATGGCTGTCTTTGAAAAATGTAATGATATTGAACTCAAAAGATGCTCAACGATTGAACAGAGCAGTAGCTGAGTTCATTGGTCTGGATCACAGTGCCATTCTGTGACTTTGGCTAATATACTTTATTTTTTTGCGGTGGGATAGTCTTGTGATGGTATCGAGTATTGTGATACTAAACCTGGTATCGGTATCAAAGTCTAAATTCTGGTATCGTGACAGATCGCACTAAATGAGAATATATAATAATTGGCGCAATTGTGGAGTTGTTGTATTCGACATAGTTGAATGTAATGAATGGTCTGTTTTGAATAAGGCCCATGTAGTTGATTTGGTTCTGGGTGCTGAGATTAGCTGACTCATAACATTGCAAAGGAAGTCACATTTAATATACGTAGGAGGTCTGTGTGGTTTAGTTCACTGGAGCCCCAACAAAGCAACCACACGCAGGGAGTTGGTTTTGTGTGTTTAGCTGTAGCACTTGTACTGAAAAATGAAAGTGGTTGAAGAAAGCTAATAAGGTTAATTGAGAGAACGCATGCTAGGGCTGTCAAAGGTTTGGACACACCTACTCATTCAAGGGTTTTTCTCTATTTGTTTTACTATTTTCTACATTGTACAATAATAGTGAAGACATCAAAACTATGAAATAACACATGGAATCATGTAGTAACCAAAGAAGTGTTAAACAAATGAAAATATATTTTAGATTATAGATTCTTCAAAGTAGTCACCCTTTGCCTTGATGACAGCTTTGCACACACTTGGCATTATCTCAACCAGCTTCAAGAGGTAGTCATCTGGAATGCATTTCAATTAACAGGTGTGCCTTGTTAAAAGTTAATTTGTGGAATTTCATTCCTTCTTAATGCGTTTGAGCCAATCAGTTGTGTTGTGACAAGGTAGGGGTGGTATACAGAAGATAGCCCTATTTGGTAAAAGACCAAGTCCATATTATGTAGAGAACAGCTCAAATAAGCAAAGAGAAACGACTGTCCATCATTACTTTAAGACATGAAGGTCAGTCAATCCAGAAAATGTCAAGATCTTTGAAAGTTTCTTCAAATGCAGTCGCAAAAGCCATCAAGCGCTATGTTGAAACTGGCTTACATGAGGACCGCCACAGGAAAGGAAGACCCAGAGTTACCTCTGCTGCAGAGGATAAGTTAATTAGAGTTAACTGCACCTCCGATTACAGCCCAAATAAATGCTTCACAGAGTTCAAGTAACAGACGCGTCTCAACATCAACTGTTCAGAGGAGACTGCGTGAATCAGGCCTTCATGGTCGAATTGCTGCAAAGAAACAAACTAAAGGACACCAATAAGAAGAAAAGACCTGCTTGGGCCAAGATATACGAGCAATGGACATTAGACCGGTGGAAATCTGTCCTTTGGTCTGATGAGTCCAAATTTGAGATTTTTGGTTCCAACCACTTTGTCTTTGTGAGACGCAGAGTAGGTGAACGGATGATCTCCGCATGTGTGGTTCCCACCGTGAAGCATGGAGGAGGAGGTGTGATGGTGTGGGGATGTTTTGCTGCTTACACTGTCTGTGATTTATTTAGAATTCAAGGCACACTTAACCAGCATGGCTACCACAGCATTCTGCAGCAATACGCCATCCCATCTGTGGTCCTCTGTAGCTCAGCTGGTAGAGCACGGCGCTTGTAACGCCAAGGTAGTGGGTTCGATCCCCGTGACCACCCATACACCCAAGAAATGTATGCACGCATGACTGTAAGTCGCTTTGGATAAAAGCGTCTGCTAAATGTCTTATTATTATTATCTGCGCTTAGTGGGACTATCATTGGTTTTTCAACAGGACAATGACCCAACACACCTCCGGGCTGTGTAAGGGCTATTTGACCAAGAAGGAGAGTGATGGAGTACTGCATCAGATGACCTGGCCTCCACAACCACCCAACCTCAACCCAATTGAGATGGTTTGGGATGAGTTGGACCGCAGAGTGAAGGAAAAGCAGCCAACAAGTGCTCAGCATATGTGGGAACTCCTTCAAGACTGTTGGAAAAGCATTCCTCATGAAGCTGGTTGAGAGAATGCCAAGAGTGTGCATAAACTGTCAAGGCAAAAGGTGGCTATTTGAAGAATATACAATATATTTTGATTTGTTTAACACTTTTTTTTGGTTACTACATGATTCCATGTGTTATTTCATAGTTTTGGTGTCTTCACTATTATTCTACAATGTAGAAAATGGTAGAAATAAAGAAAAACCCTTGAATTAGTAAGTGTGTCCAAACTTTTGACTGGTACTGTAGGTCTACACCATCACTGGTATTATCAGGCTGTATAGCTAGTTACGTTTGCTCTGACTCAGTACATTTATTAGCTAGCTAGGGATTAGCGGGTAACAAGATTTAGGCCCAATTTGCTAGGAAAATACAAATTAGCTGTTTGCAGATATAAGAAACACAAACTAATAGTGAAATTGTAGAACGCTAGTGGATTTATATTAAGAAGCAAAGTGAAAACCGCATCTTTGTCATCAACATTGTTGCATGCGCTGCATTGATCATGCAGAGATTGAACGCAAGTGTCTCGTGGTTGAGGAACAACAAATGCGCTCCTTGAGTGACCGGGAGCGGGGCTAGGTCTGTGTGGAAAGCGGCACGGAGAGAGAGAAAGCGGAGAGAGATGACTTAAGTAGCGAAGTAACCTATAAAGATGCACATTACACACGGCGTATCACATTTAACAAACCAAACATTCAAATACCGTTCTAGAAGAACCCAAACCGGTCCGTGCATCAATACCGGTATATCGTAAAATATGGTATATGGCTCAGCCCTAACGCATGCTGACACATGACGTATCTCCCCAAAATGAAAATAATTCTCTGACTTTGTGCAATCCTGTTCAATTTGATGAGCTATGTTTTGTAGTTCAAGATAAAGCATGTTGGAAGATATCTTTTGAAGCTTTTACTCTAATGAACTTTGAAGTATATACTTGTGGCAATGTAAATGTATTGCATTACATTTTGTCTCGCTCCCTCTCCATAGGTAAACCATCATGATCCCCATCACAGAGCTCCGATACTTTGCTGACACCCAGCCGGCATACCGCATCCTGAAGCCATGGTGGGACGTCTTCACAGACTACATCTCCATTGTCATGCTCATGATCGCCGTGTTTGGGGGCACACTACAGGTAACCCAGGACAAGATGATATGCCTGCCCTGCAAGTGGGTGGTCAACAAATCCTGTGAGTACCTCAATATGAGCTTCCGTGACTCCTTTGACTCCGAGCCAAAAGGCATCCAGTATGACCTCGACCGGCACCAGTACAACTACATTGACGCGGTCTGCTATGAGAACAAGCTGCACTGGTTCGCCAAGTACTTTCCCTACCTGGTGCTACTGCACACCCTCATCTTCCTGGCCTGCAGTAACTTCTGGTTCAAGTTCCCCCGGACTAGCTCCAAACTGGAGCACTTTGTGTCCATCCTGCTCAAGTGTTTTGACTCGCCCTGGACCACCAGGGCTCTGTCTGAGACGGTAGTGGAGGAGAGCGACCCCAAGCCTCTGGGGAAGATGAACGGTACCATGGACAAGAAGGCGTCATGCATCAGCGAGGATGTGGAGGCCAGCGAGCCCATGCTCCAAAGGACCAAGTCCCGCATCGAGCAGGGCATTGTTGACCGCTCCGACACAGGTGTCCTGGATAAGAAGGAAGGCGAGCAGGCCAAAGCTCTGTTCGAGAAGGTCAAGAAGTTCCGGATCCACGTCGAAGAAGGGGACATCGTCTACCGGCTCTACATCCGCCAGACCATCATCAAAGTCATAAAGTTCATCCTGATCATCTGCTACACGGCCTACTATGTGCACTACATCAAGTTCAGTGTGATCTGCACAGTGGACATTGAGAAGCTGACGGGCTATAGGATGTACCACTGTGCTCACCCCCTGGCCACGCTCTTCAAGATCCTGGCCTGTTTCTATATCAGCCTGGTAGGGATTTACGGTCTCATCTGCATGTACACCCTCTGCTGGATGCTCAGCCGCTCGCTTAAGCGCTACTCCTTTGAGTCGATCCGCGAGGAGAGCAGGTACAGCGACATACCCGATGTGAAAAACGACTTTGCCTTCATGTTGCATATGATCGACCAGTATGACCCGCTCTACTCCAAACGCTTTGCTGTCTTCCTGTCGGAGGTTAGCGAGAACAAACTGCGTCAGCTGAACCTCAACAACGAGTGGACGCTGGACAAGCTGCGGCAACGCATCACCAAGAACTCCCAAGAGAAACTGGAGCTGCACTTGTTCATGCTTAACGGAATCCCTGAAACTGTGTTTGACCTAATAGAACTGGAGGTGCTCAAGCTGGAGCTCATCCCTGATGTCACCATCCCCCCCATCATTGCCCAGCTAGTCAGCCTGAGAGAGATGTGGCTCTACCACACACCGGCAAAAATTGAGGCCCCAGCTTTGGCCTTTCTGAGGGAGAACCTTAAGTCCCTCCACATCAAGTTCACCGACATCAAGGAGATCCCTCTATGGATCTACAGCCTGAAGAACCTGAGCGAGCTGCACCTCACAGGGAACCTGAGCGCAGAGAACAACCGCTACATTGTCATCGACGGGCTACGAGAGCTCAAGAGGCTCAAAGTGCTCCGTCTAAAGAGTAACCTGACCAAGCTGCCTCAGGTGGTGACGGACGTTGGGGTCCACCTCCAGAAGCTGTCAATCAACAACGAGGGAACCAAGCTGATGGTGCTCAACAGCCTGAAGAAGATGGTAAACCTGACAGAGCTGGAGCTGTTGCGCTGCGACCTGGAACGCATCCCACACTCCATTTTCAGCCTGCACAACCTGCAGGAGATCGACCTGAAGGACAACAACCTCAAGACCATCGAGGAGATCATCAGCTTCCAGCACCTGCACCGTCTGGTAAGCTTGAAGCTGTGGTACAACCAGATCGCCTATATCCCCATCCAGATCGGCACCTTGACGAACATGGAGAGGCTCTACCTAAACCGCAACAAGATCGAGAAGATCCCGGGCCAGCTCTTCTACTGCCGCAAACTACGCTTCCTGGACCTGAGTCATAACAACCTGACTAGTATACATGCCGACGTGGGCTTCCTCCAGAACCTGCAGTACTTTGCTGTGACAGCCAACAGGGTGAGTAGAGATCTAGTATTTGAGTGTCCCTGAGAAAATGTTCGATACACACTTGGAACTACTTCTATAACTAACACAGTTTTTCTTTCCTCTATCTAGCTATATTTGTTAGGGCCCAGATTATTTCCTGGTCAGGTTAAATGGTCAAAAAACACTTGTCTAGGCAGTTATCTGTGTGTCACAGGAAAATGTTAGACATTTTGTTCTTGAAAAGGCCTACTCCCTTCTACCTTCCTCTCTTTCTTTCACATGTGAATGGGTCATAGTTCACACTGGATAATAGGAAGGTAGGGCTTAGGATAACTATGAAGACAGGTATGTGGTTATGTTAGGGATAATTGCCCTAATGATCTTGTGTACACATTGTAGAGTTTTGTGTAGTAGACAGAGATGTCTCCATAGTTCCATTGAGGTAAAATTAACACTTCAATAGTTTGTTTGCCCAATATTCTGAGAAAGCAACAGCCTACCCTGCTAGTGCTAATAATATGTTTCAAATGAGTTCAAGAAGGGGAAAACATTCTGACGTATTGCACACCGTGGGTTAACAAACGCAATGTGCCCGAGTTTTAAAAGTACACCGATTTAAAAGTTGTATTACGCTAATGTGTTTGTCACTCTTCTGGCTGAAGAGAGCTTGTCTCAGGGTGATTTTCAAGGCAAACTGTTTTGGTACTGTACTTACTTACTTTTTAGTAACTGAAAATGTAATAATTTTCAAGCCAATATGAAGTCAAAATGTCTGGTGAATTAGTTTTTAGGACTATTTAGTATAGTCAAGCTCCTAAAACAGTGTCACTCTTTGAACAGTGTGTACTACACCCCACCCTATTAGATGCAACTCATCCTTGTTAAGCAGATATCTGGGAAAGGTTTACTGTCTTCTGTACAGAACACCTCAGGGTGATGCTGTCTTACAAACAATTCACAAAACTCCTGAATGGGTCTAAAGAGATTATTTACATGAACTTTGACTTATGTGAATTCTTGTCTAACTAATTTCTGACTTTTAGAGAGTTTTGAGAATAATGTTAGTGTAGGCTAACTCTTGTAAGTTACACTTGTAAGTGAAAGTGTAACACTAACTAAATGTAATGTATCATGTAAATATACATAATATATAGTATAATATAATGTAAACATATTACATAATTGAAAATCATATATTTTCATAATATAAATGTGAGGTGACTCAGCCATAGCTCTGGCCATTTGTGACTCACAACCTGGATTTGGTCTTATGTAGCAACATACATTTTTTTTTTTACATTGGATAAAAGTAGAGACTCAGAGCTACAAAATGGAATATCATACACTGCATTTTTGAGGAACAATGGGAAAGTAATTCTGCTTTGAAAGTTTATAAACTTGTAAACTCACTTTTGAGAGAAAGTTATTTGAATGTTTTGGTATCTAGTGAAGAGCTCTTCTTTGTCTACACCCATTCAGCATCGTTCACACCCTCTTAAGCTTTAGCCCCACCCTTCTCGTTTCGCTCTCTCGCAGCGTTCAGAGCGCACACTTGACGCTCTGGCCGATGATTGATTTGTTTACCTCTGGTTGCCCTTAGTTTGAAGATGTAATCTGGAGACAGGTGTTTTCTCCATCTCTTTAGCTATCATACTCTAATTCCACTGATTTCAAAACTCGATCCTCCAGAAAGTGGAGAGCAACACTTATGTAGCTCCACTATATGATACATTTAATAAATAGTCGCGTTCGACAGGATTACCAACACAGACTGACCGGCTCAAATAGACAGAAGGCTTCTCTCGGCATGTCCAGCCCACTCATTATCTCAGCCAATCATGGCTAGTGGGAAGGTTGCTGTCTTTTTCTGTGGCTTGACCAACAAGGCTCGTAATTGAATGGCTCTCCTGTGAAGTCGTGACTTGCGACATAAGCCTAATTTCCTGAAATGGGTCACATTTGTGTTTTTGCATGGGCCAATTTTGTGAATTTTGCATAAACAACACTCGGATCACCTGACGGGCTGACTTTACAACCAATTTGCCTGCGTTAAACACGCCGTTCATCCAATTGATTTATTTAGGAATCGAGTTCACAGTGAGAAACATGCTGAGGGCTTGCAAGGAATTCTGGGAGGTTATACAACATTGTCCCTGTTGTGTTCTGGCGGGCATCTGCTGTGTGTGGGATCAAATGGTTTCTTTAAACGATACTATTATCATGGTTTTAAGGCGATTCCACTACAGCTGGAGCAGAAAATATTTTTGTTATCTCAGATTGTTCTGGCAATTCTCACATAGGAACTTCATTGGGAGGAAATATGTTTAACCAATAAGAGTCTAAGCTATTAGCCCATACAAATGCATTGAATAACATATTCACTACATGGAACAACAGATAGTCCCCCAAAAAAATCTAAAGGAAGTTTGTTCTGAAGTGTCTGTCCTATATCTGAGAGATATAAGAAAGATCAGGAAACATGTAATTTTTGTACATGTATTTAACCCCTTATTTTTGTCACTAAACAGTCTCCAAATGTGTCCAACCCCTTCGATTCGGTCTTATGTTGCAAAATATGAAATTGTGTTTTTTACATTGGATAAAAGTAGAGACTCCGAGCTAGAAAATTGTATATCATACAATGCAGTTGAGGAACAATGGGAAAGTAGTTCTGCTTTGAAAGTTGATCAACTTGTAACCCCACTTTTGAGAAAATGGCCCTTGAATGTTTTGGTACACCTACTGGAGAGCTCTTCTTTGTCTACACACATTCAGCATCGTTCACACCCTCTTAAGCCTTAGTCCCACCCATCTCTTTAAGGATTCACATGTGAGGCCATGTGGTAAACACACGCTATATCAAATAAAATCTAAGTTTATTTGTCACATGCACAGGATACAGAAGGTGTAAACGGTACAGTGATAGTACTTGCATAGTAGCAATATCAAAAAGTGTCCAGATAAAATATTTGATAAATATTCTATCGTTATTAGATTATGCTTACCCGACACACTTGTCTAAATTGATGGGTCATGTGAAGGAAATGCTATAACCACCCCTCACACACATCAAATACAATCGATGGCCGTAATCACCCACAGACACACCTGCTAATTTGATGGGTCATGTAATAATCCGGCCGAAGTAGAGTCTTTTGTTTAGACATGTAGCTAGCTAGCTAGCTAAACAATGAACCGGCATAACCCCAACTCATACTACTACCAATACAAACATTGTCATAGCTGTAGGATGAATCTGCAGGGAGCTAAAGCTAACAAACTAGGTTCAATGTTATCTAGCTAACATTAGGCTATAACTAGCAATGCAAATGGATTTCTGTTTCGAATAGTATTACCACACAGATCATACATGTAACGTTAGCTAGCAAGCCAGAAAGCTAATGTTTGCTAGCTAACTAACAGTATGCTTTAACTTGCGATTAAAAATTACTTTTTGACAAAATTAGAAACTTAAAATGTAGCAATACTCTTACTCGTATACATGGATGATCGCTTCACCGCAGAATGGAACCATTTACAGTGGCTTGCAAAAGTATTCACACCCCTTGGCATTTTTCCTATTTTGTTGCCTTACAACCTGGAATTAAAATGGATTTTTAGGGGTTTGTATCATTTGATTTACACAACATGCCTACCAATTTTTTAGATGAAACATATTTCTTGTTTGTTTCACAAAAAAAACTGAACTAACTATTCACCCTCCCCCAAAGTCAATACTTTGTAGAGCCACCGTTTGCAGCAATTACAGCTGCAAGTCTCTTAGGGTATGTCTCTATAAGCTTGGCTCAGCTTTTTGCCCATTCTTCAAGGCAAAACTGCTCCAGCTCCTTCAAGTTGGATGGGTTCCGCTGGTGTACAGCAATCTTTAAGTCATACCACAGATTCTCAATTGGATTGAGGTCTGGGCTTTGACTAGGCCATTCCAAGACATTTAAATGTTTCCCCTTAAACCACCCGAGTGTTGCTTTAGTAGTATGCTTAGGGTCATTGTCCTACTGGAAGGTGAACCTCCATCCCAGTCTCAAATCTCTGGAAGACTGAAACAGGTTTCCCTCAAGAATTTCCCTGTATTTAGCGCCATCCATCATTACTTCAATTCTGACCCGTTTCCCAGTCCCTGCCGATGGAAAAACATCCCCACAGCATGATGCTGCCACCATGGTGTTCTCGCGGTGATGAGAGGTATTGGGTTTGCGCCAGACATAGCGTTTTCCTTAATGGCCCAAAAGCTCAATTTTAGTCTTATATGACAAGAGTAAATTCTTCCATATGTTTGGGGAGTCTCCCACATGCCTTTTGGCAAACACCTAACGTGTTTGCTTATTTTTTTCTTTAAGCAATGGCTTTTTTCTAGCACCTCTTCCGTAAAGCCCAGCTCTGTGGAGTGTACGGCTTAAAGTGGTCCTATGGACAGATACTCCAATCTCCGCTGTGGAGCTTTGCAGCTCCTTCAGGGTTATATTTGATCTCTTTGTTGCCTCTCTGATTAATGCCCTCCTTGCCTGGTCCGTGAGTTTTGGTGGGCGGCCCTCTCTTGGCAGGTTTGTTGTGATGCCATATTCTTTCAATTTTTTAATAATGGATTTAATGGTGCTCCGTGGGATGTTCAAAGTTTCTGATATTTTTTTATAACCCAACCCTGATCTGTACTTCTCCACAACTTTGTCCCTGACCTGTTTGGAGAGCTCCTTGGTCTTCATGGTGCCGCTTGCTTGGTGGTGCCCCTTGCTTAGTGGTGTTGCAGACTCTGGGGCCTTTCAGATCATGTGACAGATCATGTGACACTTAGATTGCACACAGGTGGACTTTATTTAACTAATTATGTGACTTCTGAAGGTAATTGTTTGCACCAGATCTTATTTAGGGGCTTCATGACAAAGGGGGTGAATAGATATGCACACACCACTTTTCCGTTATTAATGTTTTAGAATTTTTTGAAACAAGTTATTTTTTACATTTCACTTCACCAATTTGGACTATTTTGTGTATGTCCATTACATGAAATCCAAATAAATATCCATTTAAATTACAGGTTGTAATGCAACAAAATAGGAAAAATGCCAAGGGGGATGAATACTTTTGCAAGGCACTGTAACTCCGTTTTGTTGGTAGCTACATCTTGTTTGGCCAGCTTTGTGTTAAGTCACTCTGGTTCACACTGACCGTGGCGTGTGCAGAAAGTAGCCCTTCACTTTTTCCTACTGATCTGTCGATAGCACCTGCTAAATTCAGGGCATCAATGTTGTTGAGAAAAGTAGCAAAACTTTTGTAGTTCTCAATGGCTAACATTATATCTTTCAAAAACAGCACGGTAGAAAGGACTGTCAACACATACTGAACAGCTCGTGTTGTAGACAGAAGCGTGCTACATGGCAGCCCAATCCAAACTAATCTCCCGGCATGTCCAGCCCATCCATTATCTCAGCCAATCATGGCTAGTGGGAAGGTTTCTGTCTTTTTCCATGGCTAAACCAACTAGGCTCGTAATTTAACAATTTTATTCATATTTATGAATAGAATACAAGTTTGTTATTAAGGTACATGAAAGTTCACATGTTCCAGAAGGCATTTCTGCCAAAAAACACATTTTGATTAAAAAAAGAAGTTTACATTCAAATCCTACTTCTGTGAGGTAGTGACGTGCGACATATGCCTAGTTTCCTGAAACGAGTTATACTTCCATAAATGTTTTCAGCTGGTGCCAGGGGACCTACAGACGAGTCTTGTGAGGCCTGTGGGCGTCCTAGAACAAAGCCAACATGTACATGTTCGTGAGAGTCATCTTTCCATATAGGGGTCATAATAGTTTCTAGACTAAACCGTTCGGATGCTACAGACGATTTCGTGAGAAGACAGATTTTCGGGATGTCTCATGGTCTGACAAACACTGCTCTAGCTCCGTCACCTTTCACCGCAGATGTGGAAGTGTTACATAGGAAGTGGAGTATCCAATGCAAAAAAACATATCTCTAGCTAAAACTGACAGATTTGTATGGGGATTTTTTTATTATGCTAATTTGATTTCTTTGGGGGTGCAGACATTGACCAATCACAGCCCCCATTTAGGATTGCACATTCAGCAAGTCACCAGCAGAGGGAATTCTCTGAATCCATTTTTCCATTCAATTTTTTGTGTTGAATAAATGAATGTGAAATTTTTATTTCAGAATCAAGACATACTCCATATTTTATAGCACACTATAAGTAGTATATTGACACCAATATGTTGTCTTTATCACATTCACAGATCATAGGGTCTTACAGGAGGCATGTATAGGTCTAAAAAGGGCCTTAAAATGACAGTTTAATCATGATTTTCTAAACAAATTGTTTGTGATAGCAATGTAAAAAGCATTCCTTCCTCCCAATAAAATGTATATGTGAGAATTGCCAAAACAATCTGAGATACCAAAACTATTTTCCGCTCCCACAACGTGGAATCACCCTTTACTGCACTCCCTTGTCCACACTGAGAATAGTCCTCAAACAGGGTGGTATTCATCCCAAAATAGCCCCTTTTACAAGGAACCCCTCTGGTGTGTTCTGTGTTTTTACCCCCCTCTCTGGAGTCTTCGCTTTGCGATTTGCACATTATCGACCTACATGAGCTGTGTAATTTGTAAAACGTTGTTCCCAGGTGGGCCCTAACGAGGACCCGATGTGCGCAGCTGGACACCAATGTGCTAAAGTGTTCTACGTTTTTGTTTTTCTAGAAGAACAACAATGCATGAGTAGCCCCAACCGCCTCCAGCCATTTCACATCTTCAGTGCATGAAGCTAAGAAAAGCATTTGTAATTTGATAAGGCTATTTTTAGGCCCGTGAATCAGCTTACTCTGATCCTAATTGGCTTAAATTAACAATCTATATAGGATGCACTCATTGTGCTGTTGTCCCAACAGATGACTGAACTATTAATAACAGGTGTTAGTGTGGGCATGATGCATAAGTCATTATAAAATATGTACAGTGCATTCGGAAAGTATTCAGACACCTTGATTTTTTTCAAAAAAAATTTACGTTAGTGTTATTCTGCAATGGATTAAAGTAATTTTTTCCTCATCAATCTACACACAATACCCCATACTGACAAATCAAAAACAGATTTTTAGATTTTTTTGCAAATGTATAAAGAATAAAAAACAGATAGCTAAGTACTCAGACCCTTTGCTATGAGACTTGAAATTTAGCTCGGGTGCATCCTGTTTCCATTGATCATCCTTGAAATGTTTCTACAACTTGATTGGAGTCCACCTGTGGTAAATTCAATTGATTGGACATGATTTGGAAAGGCACACACCTGTACACTCAGTAAAAGGTACATGACGGAATCCACTCCTCAGTAAAAGGTACATGACGGCCTGCTTGGAGTTTGCCAAAAGGCACCTAAAGGACTCTGAACATGAGAAACAAGATTCTCTGGTCTGATGAAACCAAGATTGAACTCTTTGGCCTGAATGCCAAGCGTCACGTCTGGAGGAAACCTGGCACCATCCCTACGGTGAAGCATGGTGATGGCAGCATCATGCTGTGGGGATGTTTTTCAGCGGCAGGGACTGGGAGACTAGTCAGGGTCGAGGGAAAGATGAACGAAGCAAAGTACAGAGAGATCTTTGATGAAAACCTGCTCCAGAGTGCTCAGAACCTCAGACTGGGGCGAAGGTCACCTTCCAACAGGACAACGACCCTAAGCACACAGCCAAGACAACGCAGGAGTGGCTTCAGAACAAGTCTCTGATTGTCCTTTAGTGGCCCAGCCTGAGCCCGGACTTGAACCTGATCTAACATCTCTTGAGAGACCTGAAAATAGCTGTTCAGCGACGCTCCCCATCCAACCTGACAGAGCTTGAGAGGATCTGCAGAGAAGAATGGGATAAACTCCCCAAATACAGGTGTGTCAAGCTTGTAGCGTCATACCCAAGAAGACTCAAGGCTGTAATCGCTGCCAAAGGTGCTTCAACAAAGTACTTAGTAAAGGGTCTGAATACTTATGTACATGTGATATTTCAGTTTTTTGCAAAAATGTCTAAACCAGTTTTTGATTTGTCATTATGGGGTATTGTGTGTAGATTGATGAGGGGAATCCAATCAATTGAATTTACCACAGGTTGTAGAAACATCTCAAGGATGATCAATGGAAACAGGATGCACCTGATCACAATTTTGAGTCTCATAGCAAAGGGTCTGAATACTTATGTAAATAAGGTATTTCAGTATTTTATTTTTAATTAATGTGCAAAAATGTCTAAACCTGTTTTCGCTTTGTCATTATGGGGTATTGTGTGTAGATTGATGAGGGGGAAAACAACAATTTAATCTATTTTAGAATAAGGCTGTAATGTAAAAAAAAAGTAAAGGGGTCTGAATACTTTCTGAATGCACTGTATGTCTGTACCTCTACCTTAATAATTCATTCTAGATTCTGGGCTAGGGTATCATGCCAGTCTTCGATTGCCTCCCTGCTTTAGGGCAGATTGTTTTGGTTTGTTTCTGATTGGTTTAAAGTCTTATGGGTTGGTGTGTGACTGGTTTTTGATTGGATAACTAAGGCGGGAACGGTATGCACGGATTTTCCTCTATTTCCTCTTTTGCCAAGTCTGCTCTTAAAAATATAGCTGTTCACTATGCACTGGGGAGAAGTTAAACTTTAAGCTCCTTTCACAACTTAAAGCTAGAAACTTGTACGGTATACATGTATTCTTTATATTAAATAATTAGTACACATAGTGTATGATTTAAACTATACACAAATACAAGAGCATAAACCTTTCTCCTATTTTTCAACTTTTATCCTCTCTCTGTTCTCCCTCCTTGTCCCTGTCAGATCGAATCCCTCCCGCCGGATCTGTTCCAGTGCAAGAAGCTGCGCACCCTTAACCTGGGCAACAACTGCCTGCAGACTCTGCCCTCGCGCTTCGGCGAGCTGACTGGCCTAACCCAGCTGGAACTACGGGGGAACCGTCTGGAGTGCCTGCCCGTGGAGCTGGGCGAGTGCAGGCTGCTGAAGAGGAGCGGCCTGGTGGTGGAGGAGGACCTCTTTAACACCCTGCCCCTCGAGGTCAAAGAGCAGTTGTGGAGGGCCGACAAAGAGCCAGTCTGAGGAGAGACCCCAGAGAGCCTAAGGAGAGGAGGAAAGCTGGAGAGAGGAAGGGGTATTGGGCAGTGGAGGATGTCACTTTAAATCGGAAGCCATCCTCCTATTTCTCCCTCCACCAGCCTTCACTGGTATCGGGAAGGAGAAAGGGGTGAGAGGTGTCCATATTTCTGGACGTACGTTTAGAGAAGGATGGTTGGTTGGTGTCTTGGCTTTACTGGCTGAATTTGTTTTTTTAGGGTCACAAGAGGCTCTTTAACAGACTACCAAACCTCTCTGAGATTGAGGCACTTTTTTAGTACTGAGTCGTCTCAGTATAGACAGAGACCACAAAGGAACAAGGAGTTACAAAGCCATGCAGTACCCCCATGGTGTCCCCATGTGGGGAAGATAAAAACACACACACACTCCTTGAACTCAGAAAAATAGTTCAATACAGCCAAAGCAGGGCCCTGTTCATTAGCCACCAAATGGAAGAAAATGGTCTGGAACAGGGAGGGACAATCAATAAGAAACACTAACTTTTGTTTTCTGTTGCTAAACGTTTGTTAGTGTGTGCCCTAATGAAAATTACCCAGATCTTTGCACTCCAAAACTGTTACCATGGATACGGCATTGGCTTATACAGTACACATTTGTGCAATATATTCTGCCGGAATATCGAAGAAGAGACACTTTTATCGAAGGGACTTGGAGTAAACAACATAATTTAGAGGGAAATTGCCACCACAGGTGATTCCTTCAAGACCAGCCAGGCAACTCATGTTACTAATATGGCCTTACCTTTTGGGTGCTGTACTGTACGTCCCAAATTGTGTGTGTGATTAAAACCATAATATTAATGATTTTGCTAAATATGCAGACAAATGTATAGCTGTTGTAAAATTGTTTCGAGCATAGGCATTGAGATGGTATTATTATTCTCACCAACTGTCCCAAGTTATTTTAAAAGGAGAGGGAAGCCTCACTTTGAAGGAAAGGGAGAGGAATTCATCTTTGTTCACACAATCATTTTCATTTAAAAATTTTACTACTTGTAATTTCCCTTTTGCGCAATGTTATTTACCAATGAAAACCCTCCAGCTGGCTGTTTTGAATCTAGCTCTGTTCTGAAAAGGTCTCAGTTTTGGATTTGTTAGTAAAGGCTAGCGCCCAGCTGTAAATGGATGGAGCAACGCTCACAGAGTAGGAGTGCATCAAAAAGGAGCAAACGATCCCAGAGCAAAGGCTCGCTGGTCGAGACCAATGATGTATATAAACCCTTGATTGCTGATGCTAAAAAATAATTGGACAAAGTATACTTTAAGGAAAATGTTTTTATAATTGTTTTCATTTTGTATTTGTATGTTTAGCGCAAATAATATAATTTAAAATTATGCATTATGGTGTACCAAGATGGAGGCATGGTGGCTTCAACTTTAGTGCCCCCAATTAGTAATCTAGTGTGTATATAAATCATTGGTTGAGATCAATGATCTATATAAACCCTGGATTGGTGATGCTATGTATTGGCCATTGAGAGGCTTGGAAGCCACCGGTCGGCCATATTGTCACTCCCCAGTAGGAGCAGTCCTCCATAGGAATGCATGGAATTCTATAGTATTTCAATTAAATGTTTCAACTACAAAATTGCATGTATTTAATTATTTTGTTGTTGTAGTAGGGACCGTAACATTAATTTAAAAAATGGTACTTAACATTATTCATCTCAAAAAAATTATACTTTAAGGAAAATGTGTTTCTTTTTTCATTTTCTATTTGTATGTTTAGCTCACATAAAAGTATGCATTAAGGTGTATGTAATATAATACATGTGGCAAAAACAAATGCAGACATTAATAAATGCATTTATTTAGCTTCCACAATATTTTGGATAACCGTGGGGGAGTGCCAAGATGGAGGTACAGTGGCTTCAACACAGAGCCCCCTATCAGTCATCTAGTGTGTATATATAAATCGTTGGTCGAGACATAGGTGGTTGACTACAGACATACTGTAATGTCCAAGTATTCCTCTCTGACTTGTTCCAGGCTTTTTGGAACATTTGAAAACAACTGCAAACAGGTACAACTCTCTAAAACTGACCCCTGGTCATTCCTTAACAGGACTGTTATGATTGAGGTTGAGCTGTCTTAACCAAAACTGATCTGAGAGTGCCATAGGATTTAAACTCAGTGCTTTACTGGAGAGCTCATTGATTCACAGATTTAGTGCGGCGCAGGCTTGAAAGGGTGAATATGATAACAGTTAGTGCTGACTGACTCAGAGTAGGAAATAGAGATTCTGTTGCCATATATATTGATGTATATAATTAGTCATACTTTAACAGCCTTATAGCATCACATAAACCCCCCCCCCCTCTTCATGTAAGCCTCTTTCTGTTCAGTTGAGGTGATGGTTACATGCTATTGTTATTTATCACGTATAACTCTGCTTATGTATTGTTTTTACACTGTTAAAACATTATTTTTAATGCAGAAAATACTCTGTCTGATCACATGATGACTCAGGCCACTGTAGGAACGGTATCTGGCTTTACATGTTGCCCTTAACGACAGATCTAGGGTCAGATTGCAGTACCCTCAATTATGCGCTTAGTCATTAGGGAGATGAAATGGTATCTGATCCTGTATCAGTCGTTGGGGAAGACCTCTGCTGTTCCTACCCCCTCTGTACCTACCCCCAATTTTAGGTAGGTTGTCATGCCATGGTCACAACGGTTTATGCATATCCTGTCACTTTTTTGTAATGTCCCATCAGCAATGTGCCGGTTTTGCATGTTATTTTACATACATGTATACGTCCCAAAATTCCTTTATGTAAACATGATGTTTCTGCAGATTGACTGACTGCTTGCTTTCACAAGCAAAATTCAAATTCTCATAGAAATGGTCTTCAGTGCTCCATGGGATGCATGCCTTGCTTCGACAATCCTTTTGTGCATCCAGTGAGGATGGAACGCCCCACTGTGTGAGCACCGAGTAGGCCTAACAGAGTGGAAAGTGTTGACTGTCAATTTCTTAATTTTGTAATGTAAGAAAACGGTTATACGGTTGTGTGTATTACCATAAAAAATATAATAATTTCCCTAATCTTCATGGCCAGACATTTAACGGCATTCTCAATCCATAATTTGGGTAGCATACCGAATGGTGGTATTTTACAAGGCAGCCAAAACATATTCTAAGCAGCATTGATGCTTCTCATGAGTATGTATTTTACGTGTTTAGGGGCATAGTTTTTTGTGCACATTTTGTTTTTTGCCCTAGCACTACACAGCTGATTTCAAATAATCAAAGCTTGATGATTAGTTGATTATTTGAATCAGCGGTGTAGTGCTAGGGCAAAAACCAAAACGTGCACCCCTTGGGGTCCCCAGGACCGAGTTTGGGAAACCCTGCACTACATGCTAAGGTTCATGATAGAGTTAAAAGGTTCTCGCTGTAAAAAACCTATAGAAAAACTCAGACTGTACTTGGCTTAGCTACAAAAAGTGCAGGTGCAAAAGGTTGACATGGTAGTATGGCATTAGTTAAGTTATATCTCAGCAGCATTACAAATGGACATGGACAAGGCATGCTCTCTCAGTATTGGGAATTCAGATCGTTTGTCAAACCATTTTTTTGTTTCTTATAAGTCATACTTATTTGGGTGGTCGACAGGACAATGATACATATTTCAGTCAGCCAACTGAATGAGTTCAGTTGATACAAGCCTGTATCTTTCTTAGATGTTTTTACTCTTGTTTTGTGTTCAATCTAGAACAGAGCTGGCTGGCATTGTAAGGGCCTGAGTGTGTGCTCTATGCTGGCCTTTGTTCCAGCCAGGTTTTGGTTCCTTTCCATCTTCTTTGATCATTGGATGGTCATATTCATCTCAACCCACACATTGTATGCCAGGCTCACATACTGTATGCCACCCACAGTGGGTGGCACTATAATGTTGTTCTTGTTTCATTTAAGTGCAGAATATAACGTGGACCTGTGCCAAAAGTGAATAGACAAATAACAACCATCTGTATCTCTTCTTCATCACCATTATTGTTGCCCACTGTTGCCAAAATGAGTGAACACTGGCTTTCTAAGTGGAGAAACGATGAATGTCCCCGACCCTTGTATCAGTGGAAGATTTGAGCCATCACGACAGGTGTTTTACCACTCCTTTTTTACTATTATATAAATGATAAAGTAAAACATGTTAACACCAATCTATCTTTTCATGTATTTATTTCCTGTAATGACTAAGACTTCCCTACTGATGAAAAACAATTCTCAATGGAGAATTAAAATGTATGGCAAACAAAAACCATTGATTTCAAAGTTTAACAAACTATACAACTATGCACAATGACTACTTTGAAAAATGTACACAGTATATAATAATAAAAAAAACATTTGGAAAAACTGTGCAGTTCTTTAACAGTAAAATCTCTGAGTTTTCTGTTACCAAACTTTGTATCTGCAAAATTCTTCCTATAAATGTGTTTTTGTAAAATGTTCTGTGGAAATTGTTAAACATAGTCATTGTGCATAGTTATATGGTTTGTTAAACTTTGAAATCAATGTTTTTTGTTTGGTATACATTTAAAGTGAGAAATATGAGTCTCAGTGTAATTCCATTACCATGGAATTGCCCAGATATACATTTTGTCTCCCTTGTCCTTATAATAGCAAACTCCATTGCCAACATTTACATGACTGAGTGACCCCCGGCCTGCTGTCACCTATGTACGTTATCAGCTGGATCTGGTTACATGTCCCAAAAAGAAATTATGGGCAGAAAGACAAATTCAACTCCATCTTTCATCGAATCAGATGGCTTATTCATCACAAAACCATTTGATGTTGCCAATTATTTAAATAATTACTTCATTGACAAAGTGGGCAAACTTAGGCAGGAAATGCCGACAGTGAGCCATTGTACTCATGCATAAAAAAGAAAAAGAAAAAAGAAAAGCATTGCAAGTTAGAATTTTGTAGCACATTAGGTAGTGTTGGAGAGGTCGA